AGACACTATAGTTTTCAATTAGTGACTGCAGCAGACTGATTGATTGCTCTAAAGTGAATTGCGGATAAAAAACAACTTTTTCTCTGTATAAACCGATGAAATGAAATCCAAAATAAAACTATCTGAAAAATAAATAAATTGATTATGTACAGCAAAAAAAAAATATTTATTTTAAGTCATGAAAAAAGTTAATTACATTTTAGATCATAAGATAAGGGAGCATGGTAAACTATTGTAGTGAATTTAATGTTCGCTTTACGAAACTCATTTAGTAACATTGTTTTTACGATGTTTGTGAACTCAATATAAAAGACTATTAATTTGTTAAGGTACCTTATTTATTTGCTCTACTTCGAATGGTTTAATATAATTAGGTTATGGCTTCTATTTTCAAGGGATTTTTAATCCAATTTGTCATCGAAAAATTGGTATGTACCAGAAATAAGACGATATTTTTTATTTCAAGTAATGAAAGAATTAGATTATAACACTAAATTCTGTGCAAAGTATGAAGCATAGTATGCATAAATATCGTAAATTATCTTCAAATACAAATTCAAATCTCATCTGTCTAAATGCTAACACTCAAAGTGCTATATTATACAAAGAGCATTTGTAAATATTCAAAATAAAATTGAATTTGTATATAATACCAGACAATGCATCGCATAGATTTCATGTCTATAAAAGCTTAACGAATTTTTTTCCACCCTTGACTTTTAACATTAAATAAATCAAAAATTTAAATTTTAATACGAAAAAAGTTTGGCATATCTGGTTTGTTATATATTTTTTTGAGATTAACTTATTCTATCGCAATAAAACGTAAAGTAACCCTTCACAATACCTTAGAGACGATGAAAGGATAAAGACAAATTGAATATCAGAAGACAAACATTGACTAAATTTAATTTCTGTGTTTTCTCAGGCACATGAAGATAAATAAATGTTCATGTAAACGGTTATCACAGTATTATACCTTATATATAGATGTTAATGATTCTGTTTCAGCTGTCTGAGCTTACTGATTTATGTTATTTTATAATTTGTACAGTATACACGCATCATATTAATAATTATTAAAAATATATATATAATAAATACAGAAGAATAGACGATACATGCATAAAACTATTGGTTTCAAAAGTCCAAAGAATTTACACCTCCCCTTTTCTTAATGTATGGAAATATAACTCATACAGTTTTATATTTGTTTTATAAATTTTATGATCAATTTGAATGTATCAGTTTAAAAACATCTGAAGCTTTGAACTCATAAAACTATTTACGATTAAAGTTTTTGATTGTTCTCGGATACTCTCAGAATGATTATTAACGGAATTATCTCTCGTACAATATGTGTTTTACTGAAATTTAATTAACCTAACATAAGATAAATACTATTTTAGTAGAATGTTTTTACTGGATACTGTTACTTTGAACGTTTGTATTCAGTTGTTAACCTATTACTAAAGTCTATTTGGATTTTTGTCAAACAAAATAGCGCGACACGCGAGATGTGACAATATTCGTAAAGGCACAGCAAACACAGTCGACTTTGTTTTTATAAAGCAACGTAATAAACCGTAAACAATTTTTGTTATTTTTTCACCTCAAAATTTTGTTTTAGTGTTTTTTTTAATATTGGCTACTTTTTGCTAGCTTTTATTTTAATATTATTTTTACATAGTTACGTGTTTGCGGATTTAAAAAAGTAAATTTATAAACAAACTTAAAATATGTATTTTATTAAGTATGTACTTATAAGGGGCAATCAAAATTTTGTAAAACAAAACATATTATAGTAGGAAAAAGAGATTAATAGTTTTGAAGTTTACCTCTTAAGCCCTGTCACCTCACGCCACTGCTATGGTTTGCTGACTCAATTGTTTATCATTTTCACGTATCTTACAGTTACGTATCTTAGATTACGATCCCATATCATAAATATTAAATAATAATGCATGATATTGCAAGCAAAAAAAGTTACAATGATCCATAAAGCGGAAACAACTTCGTGTTTCGTAAGAAGTTTGCTGGCTATGTTACCAAAATTTTACTTTTTGATACAGAGGTACGTTATAATCTTAGCTTTTCTGAAAATAATGTGTGGTTTATGCAATTTGTATAAAAATACACACACATACACATATAAAGGGGTATACATATGTGTAGCTTACAAAAGAGTTTGATTTATTTCTATAACCTTTTGTGATTTGTTTTCATAATTTAGATAATTAAGTATTATTATCATTCAAACAATAGATAAATTGAGTTTGTGGAACATCATTTCTTTAATTTAATTGCATGTTAATAGCGGTTCTCATTTTGTACCAATATTGCCTGTATTATTCCACCTTTCTATCGAAAGTGATTATAAAATAAATTATGTACAATCGAACAATTGGTGTCTTTGTGAAAAAATCTAAACATTTAAGCATTCAATTTAATGTATTTAGTTTGAATACATTTTTGATAGGTTTGCCTTTTTGTTACTAAGTGTACGAATTTAGAGAGAATTGAGTTATTCAATATAGCAGCTATAGCTCCTTTTATAACATCGCTGTTCTGTGAAGAAGACTGTAAATGTTTAACAAAGACAAAAGGATTTTATTTTTTTTATATTTTCCAAGGTAAAACTTGGAAAGTCTGAATAAAGAGCTGTTGGTATAGAATTTTCACAATTTTTAATTTAGACTATTTAATTTTGTGAAATTTCTGTTAAGGAATAGATTAGCTTTATAGAATGACGTTGAAAAAATTTAGCTTTAAAATTTTAGACCTTATTCTGGAAGTAGCTCTAATACTCTAAATCGAGTAGTTGTGGTTAATATCTTCTATTTTATTGTTAAGGTATTGCCAATAATTTATCAATATCTAAATATATTTGTACATTTATAATAATGCAAGGTTCTTAGTTGTCTTATTATGTATAAAATGCTTGTAAAATGAAATATACAAGCTAAAGCTCTACTTTCAAGGAAATATTTCAATAAATAGCTAATATACCCTCTCTTTACAATATTATTTCTATAGTAAAAGTAACGAGTTATTTATTCAAACAAATAATTTAATATTAAAATGGTAGTCTATAGTAACAAAAGACTTTATATGAGCGAGAGTTTATGTATAATTTCAGTATGATCCAGGCATAATTAAATGAGAACCACGAATTTCGTTGTCTATAAACAAAACTTTACGAGCATGAACGCTCGTGTAATATGTTAGAATGGATTTTATACAATTGAAAACATTACAAACGAGAAAATTACACAGTAACCAGTTTACGTTACCATGATAAGTTAGTGTGTGGTTATTTAAATGTTTCAGTTGTTTGCATACATTCCATGTTCAGGTGGCTACCGTGCATTCTAATACATAACAGTGACCCGAAACGATTGCTGAAATTGCTGAGCGGTACATTATACTTCCACTTTATTGACTCAACGTCTGCTTAGTCTGCTCTGTAATATTGCTTACTGTTGAATACTGGCAGTATTTTGAGGATCCATTTTAATTTTATACTTTAAAATACGATAAATTAAAGTTAAAGCACCGATTTAAATATACCTACACAAAATAATAAAATTCAATTTCATGTGTTTATCAATAAACTTATTCTCATGATCCGTCTGCATAAAATTATATTATTTTAATATAAACATTCTAACCTGGGTAAAGTATACCAGTGGCACTTATATTTAATTTTCATTTTATGAGTTCTTTATCGTATGCGGTGGTTATTTTGTTAACTATGAATAATATTTTTTTTATCTAGATCAAACATTCATAATGTTACATATTTAATTAAAGCTTTATAACGTTTAAATTATATAATATCAAGGCTTAATAGTTTTAAAACCAACTTTTTAGTCTCTGAAATGCTCCAGCTTAAGCTGCACTCAGCGGTCGGTACAACTATTCAAACTTATAAACTTTTTCATTGAGCTGCTTAAGCCGATTCTCATCACTTATATAGAGACTCATATATTTCTGTTGTTCTCATTGAAACTAAAAAAATGTTTCTTTAGAGATAACTATAATATCTATAGACAAGTCAGTAATGTTTAATCATTTATAAAAATATAAATCAGCTCTGATAATGTAAAACTGTTTTACTAACAACCCGAAACAACTTCGTATCCTCCAATAAGTTTGAATCTTATTTCGTTTATAAGTTAAGAGTTTTGATAGGCGGTGGAAGGATGGATATTTTAAAGGATCTTGAAACAATTTATTTATGTGTACATTGATAAATATATATTTAAGGTTAGTTGACTAAAACAGTTTCACGGTAAATAGAAGATATTATGTAACGTAAGTTTCTATGCGTCTTTTGTATGCTTTCAAGATCTGAGTCTTGAACGTTGCTTGTATGAGGTTTCTTGACCTGCTTTAGATTTTTAACTTTCTTATTTAAAGTTTTAAATGTTACAAGTTTTGTTAATTCTATGGAAGTAACTTTATAAAAATTTACGTAATTAATAATTAAATCTCTGTAAAAATATTGTGTTTCTTTTACATAATAATGAAATTATGTGCTAAAAATTATATTTCTCTTTGTTAACGACAAAGTTATGTATTTACTTGAATAGTTTTCTCTTTGTGCCTCGTCTTGTAGGGAGCGAACAAGGGTTGCTCTTCTTAATACAAAAGATAAATACCATTGTCGAACAGGAGTAGTAAATGAGATAAACACGTGTATTTAGCTCTGTAACTTACTGCTTCTAAATGTAACACAGCAAAATCAACAAAGTTAGTCTTACAACTTATCTTTCCCTCCAGAACATCGTTATTTCGTTTAATTTTGATTTAAGACAAACGTTTTTTCACTGCTTGCAAACATTCAGTGGTAATATAATTCAACTGTGATTGCATCATAATATAATAATAAGTCGATAAAGTAAAGTGGTGTATTTATTATTCTTTTTTATAATTTAGCAACAGCCATGTCATTATTTAAGAAAATCCAACTCAAAAGATGCGCATAAGGAATAAAAATGAACAGGTCGGGCTACGATTACAATGTACCTTTGTCAACAACCTACTATGCATCAAATTCAAGACCGCCTCAGTATGAAAGGGATTACGGACAGCTTGCTTCCGTACCTGTGTACAGTCCTTCAACGCACCCACTTTCAAATTACGCGGACGTGTATGAAGGCAACAACGATACTACGCTCCGCGCGGAAGAAAAACATTGGTATATAGAAAACCACAAAAATATTCAAAGCAATTATAATGAAAACAATGATGTCATTTCGCGAGAAACAAAAAATAAAAAAGAAGAAGAGAAAAAAGTTGATGTACAAGTTACAAGATCTGACGCTGCGCAGTTACGGCAGAGAAGAAAGGAGGACAGGTGTTCTTGTGAATGTTGGCCTAGTACAGACAATAATGTAGTACAAGATACTGGAGCGAACGACACGACCCGATCGCTTTCAGGAGTCGATATGGTAGCATCGTATGGAGTATACGGTAATTCACAAGATGAGGAGAGCTCAGGATTTGCTCATCTTTCTGAAAAAAATATATCCTATGCTCAGAGAAATGAAACTCCGGTTCAGGGTGTGATAGTTAATCAACAAGGAAATAGCGCAGTGGTACGGTCTAATACCGAACCTGATTCTTCTTGTAGTAAATGCTGTCCGTGGTCATCTAATGCCCCAGCAGCTAACTCAGAGGATTACTGTTGGATACACTACTGCCGACCAGCACTTATAGTTCTGTTGTTAATATTTTTTCTAATACTACTTGGCGTGTCAACAGGGTTCTTATTGACAAATAATTGTAAGTATTCGAAACTTTATTCGTAATTTAATATTTTTTTAATATTATCATTAAAATATATACAATATCCGGAAAATATTTAATGGCTCGACGCCGACAAAGCAAAATAATAACTGCCATTTGTAAGGCCTGCGCCCTTAATTCACGTTAGATTCTGTTGAAATGAAATAGTAAGAAGTATAAGTGTTTGGGGGTTGTGAAGAGCTAGCGTTTCGATCGTTTTTCTCTCTGACAGAACATTTATTTTAGCGGCACTTCGGCCCCCACATGAAAGATTTTCAAATTGCATGAACACTACTGGAATTGAGGAATCTTCCAAAAAATTTTCTTTTTGATGCCAATGTTCGTTTTTGCTTTTAAAACAAAATAATTGTATACTTCTATTAAAACTTATTTTTCCTTACCTGAGAATTCATTGTACCTTTTAAAAAATGAATTGTCGAAATAATTGTTAATATTATGTTTATTTATGAAATATATATATAATATAAATTTTAAAGCAGTTGCAAATAATTTACGGTTAAAACTTAAAATAATAATTCTTTGAGAAAAACAATACCTTGAAATATTTGATGGTAAATAATATTATTTATCCGATAAATGAAAGTAGGTTATAACAACATTTGATTGCTAACGAAGCCGTATTCATGCGGATATTTGGTAAACGAGCACTGTAGTAAGCAGCGTTGGAAAATAATAGAATCTGAAGAGATGCGGATAGTTGGGCAGTATGTCAAAAAGTCTATACGATAGGAAAAATGTGTCCATACATTTTTTATGAGAAATAATTGAACTGGCAGTGCTGCAAGAGTAATTCACGGCTCACGTTCAACTTTAGCTTTGAAGCGAATGGTTAATCGATCGATTAATTTTCACGCTATCTGAGCACGGAATTCTTGCGGATTATATGAACAGAATTTGAAATATTTAGTGTATCAGGAAATTCGTCTAGGCAGTTTAAATTCCGTTTTACAAAATAACATCATGTAAAAGTTATTAGTGTGTAAGCAATTATCTTAATCATTTACGTCAGATCCATATGTATACTTTAAATTTTATATTTAAAGAGAAATTATAAATAACAATCCTATAGTTAAATAAGAACATTCCGTTTCTTTTAAAAGATAAGATAAAAAATGTTCTTTAGTTTGATTGAAAAACTCATTCTATTAGTTTAATTGTCTGTTTCTGGTTATGAAAATCTACGGGTTATTTTTAATTGCAAAAATATATATTCTTTATAAAGTTTATGCTCCATTTTCATAAAAGTATTTTTCTACATTCAATGTTTTTGTTAATTTAAAAAATCACGCCGACCGCTACGCTCTGGTCCAGCACAATAAAATTATTGAGTATAAAGCTATAATTTATACATGAATAAAATTGACTAACGTTCCCTTGACACGCAGGTTTTTACCCTAATAAGCAGCGCCTAGTCACCGCATATTAAAAGGATCATGAAATATATCATCCGAAGTTCACAGATATAATTTAAGTGTATTAATAAATACCATTATGATAATTATGGCTTGATTTGATTAATTTATGAGTAAACGAAAGATAATAAACGGCTTGCAAAAACATTTCAAGTTGCTGAGAATATAATTGCTTAATATTTTCATAATTCTTTTGCTCTACATATGTAAAAGAAGTTGAAATAAGTAATGTGGTAGTTATAAGGTTTGAAATGGGAACGAAAGTAAAGAACGTCTGGATTGTTTCCTGTCTCACCATCGTTATGTTTTCATTTCTGTTACATCACACAACACGTTTGTCATAATTTCATTGATATAATTTTAAAGAGATTAACTAGTTCTGTACAGCTATTGTATATATATTTGAAAAACGTTTTGTGGTTTTTTATAGTTTCCATTATGTAGATGTAAGAAGCGTACCAAACATCTAAAGATTCAGAACGCAGGTAAGTGCGTGATTGCGCTTGACACCCGTAATATCCGGTGGCTGCCCACCGATGATATCAATTTCAATTTGTTGCGGCTCTGTAGTCGTCATGATTCCTTGTAAATCGATACTACTTCAGTTTCCTGTTGCGTCTCCTCCGGATTTAATCTCCAATTCAATAGAAATGCTAGCAGCATCGATATTCTAAATATATTTTTATCTTGTAACGAATATCGAGATTTTAATATGATTTTATTTTCAATAAATATTTCAAGTCCTTCTTTGTCAATATAATGAATAATGATTTAATCGTCATTTTTAAATCGGGACATGTGGTTCAATCGAGAGACGATTTGGAATAAATATGTATGTATGTAGGAATTTCTTTTCGCATGATTATATGTTAAAATGTGTAACATAGTGTATGCGGGGAAAGTTGAGACGAAAAACATGTTAACTAAAATATTTTTAGTAGGTTTGTAGTAAAATACAAAGTGCTTTGAGTTTTCCAGTATTATATAAACACTTTATTACAAAGTTAAAATTCTACGTACCTTAACTGCTATCATGGTAGTATAAAATTACTAACCTAATGCCTTGCCATGTATCCATATATTAGTAGCCGAGTACAGAACGTTAGTTGTTAAAATGCTTTAGTTTTTGGCAAACATTTAGATTACATAGCTACGGTTCGGAATGCGGGGATGGAGTTTGATATTTGCATAACGTTTTTTCGAACTTTAGTTACGTGTCATGAGAGTCGATTCCCGTTCTCGGTCTAACATTGTGCAGCTATTGGATTCGTTTAACACGTGACTGAACACCGGCCGTTGTTTAATAGCCTCGTATATGTAAGGGACAGACGAGGTACGTCTAACCAATTTGCAATAAAACAATATGGCACCTCAGCACGGCGGCCTGTGACCGCGGGTATCAGCGGCCTCTTTTGTTTTATATTTATAGATAAGTAACTATTTACGTTAAAATGTTTTTGTAACGAATTAAATTAAAAAAGATCATGATTTAAAGAGACGAAACAATCTTTCTTCTTACAGGCACGGCCATTTGGCAATACCAATCAACATTTACTCCAGAAACGTCGATCGTTTATAGGAATAATATTCTTACACCTTTTGTATCTGTATGTTTGTTGGTATAGCACACATAAGATGCAACTAGCACTAAAAACTAATGGAACTGAAATAGTAAAGTTAAACTGTTGCGGTGTATATGGGTTAGCTTAATAATTAGATTATTGTGGTTTCTACTCTAAATAACAAAGCGAGTGGATTTACAAATGGACAGAGCGATTGAATGAGCGATTTTGTCAAAATGTTGCTATTTTAGCGAAGTTAGCATTAAATGTGTTTGAATTTTACTCATTATTTTAATTTTAAAAATTATTGTTACAGATTTACATTATCAACCCCGTCCACCTGCTCCTGAAGGTAAGCATGATAAATCACTACGACAATCTTTTTTACAAGCACATTACTTAGCGAGGTTACGACGTGGACTTATTTTCTTATTCAAAATCACTAACTATCTATTACCTATATTATGAAAAATTCTAATATTTAATTCATCACGTTTTATGCTTAGTTCCAAACTTATAGTAATTACATATATATGTATATATGTTGTGTCATTGAAGTTTCTTGATAAGTTCTAAAATTGTGTTATTAATTCACAATGATTTTTAGGAAGTTTAGTGTGTCCCTTTGTCGTTCTTATCTTTAGTCTACACATTCACATCGTGCGGGTGCCAGCCACGAAAGTCAAAATGCTTTGTAGCAGAGTTTGAATAGACTTCCCACATTGTCTATTTAATTTAAGCTAATTAGTTTTTAAAAAAAATGTAGTTACGTTCACTTTTAAGTTATAAAATCAAAATATATGGTATGCATACGATACAAAAAAGTTAGTATTTGAATTGATTTCATATTTAAAAGTAAAAGATTTTTTTTCAATTTTATTGTGATACCTAAATATGTTATGACAATATTTCTTTCCAATATTTTGTACTTAATTTATTTCACATTAACAAATGGAATTCTTACATTATTTTGACATTTAACTTTAAAAGTACATATGGCACTATTGATTTAAAAAAATAATACTTCTTATATTTTTCGTTTTTCTCAAAAGGATCAATTAGTTTATATATATAAAATAAATAATAATATAAACATATATAAACTACAACGTTCTGTATATATAAAAGAAAATTGTGTTAGCTACACTATTTATAACGCAAGAGCGGCTGTAGGTATATGGTTGAAAATTGGTGGGGAGATAGCTTAGAACCAGGTGATGGACAGAGGATATTTAATTCTGTTCGATCTAAGAAGAAAAATCTTAATCAGTTAGAATATCTGGTTATTTACGACCTATAGGCCAGAAGAGAGTTCGCCCAGTCAGCTGTACATATAATACTAATTCCGAAATTAACGCGGAAGAAGTCGCGGGCAAAAACTATTATTAAATAAAATGAATAGAAACAAGTATGAATAAGAAGTAACCACTGATGTATAGTCGTTTACTTCAATTACCTACTAATTAAATATACAGTATCCAACAACATTAGTCCCCCTTCTTAGGAGATAAGTCGTTATATTCAAAATAAACAGTTTAAAAGTGTATTAATAATAAACACCAAAAAGAATTTACTGTGAATAAACCAGTTTGAACGTGCCTGAAAGAGCCGCGCGGTGAATATCCTAATTTTCTTCAATTCACGGAGCATCCGCCATCATTTTTATCTCCCCTCCTGTCTTCATTTATATCTGGCGTCTACAGCGATTCGCGTTCTAGAATTTTGTTTGTTTCTTTCAAAATTGTTATTTCCGCTTGCTTTCGCTTCCCTAAGCGGATTCCTCTGTTGGTTTCCACAGCTTTTATAAGCCCAAGGAAATGAATTCTTGGTTTAATCTCGATTTTTGATAAATTTCCACATAATAAATGTAACTTTATAGAGAGCTGTACAAAACGATTTGATAATTCAAAAGGGTCTTTTTTAGAAACGGATGCCATTTTTAATACGACTGTTAATTTCTTTTCCACTATGTTCAAAATAATTTTCATTCTTACGAATCAATCTTAAATCACTATTTGATACAGTATATTTTCGAATAAATTCTATAAAATAGGTTAAAAAGTGATGAGACATGAAAGATTTCAATTTCTTCAACTACTTTTCCAATGGTATTCCATATCATAGAAAGTTACATCATATTTCTTGAAAATGTCATCGATTATTCTTTTTGCATTTAATATTGATTTGGTAAGAGGGAAAGAGTCGTTAAGGCTGAGGTTTTTTTTTAAAAATTAAATACCAGCTATTTTATACTAGTTACTAATGTTAAACCGCCTTTTGGGTACCCGTTTTCATCCTTTCAAGATTTCATTTAGGTCCTAATTTGGACGCAGAGAATTATAATATGTGGAAATTACTATTTCAAATAATAAAAAAAACTATTTGGAAATTAGCTATAACATTACAAATATACAGTCAAATACAGAAATTCCTCCTCTTTAAAGTTGCTTAAAAAGTAATGTAAGTTATCTTCATTATTTAACCTACATGAGAGTGAATATGCAGTTAAAATCGGGTTAGTAATTCATGGGAACGGATACACAAATCGACAGAAATTTTAGAAATTGAAGTTTTTATTAACGTAACGTATAAACATGCATATGCAGGTTTTCTTGAAAAGTTAATGATTTGAAATTATAAACTAACACTAAATTTTTTTTTTTTAGTATACATTAAAGACAAAAATGTTAAAAAAACTTATACTCACCTTATAAAATTTGAATCCATCCAAAATTTTAGATTTTTAGATGGACAAGAAAATTGTAAATTAAGTTTCCTTAAATCCTTGTGTGACTTTGCGCTCGACAATCTCTGTTTGGAATTTTAACTAGGCGATAGAGATCGGTAATCCCAAAGCCTCCTGACACAATGCGGTGGTTTAACAGATATTCGCATCTTATTTTCGTTCACCTTAATAATTTAGTCACGGCTCAGTCTTCTCAGGTAGAAGATTGGGAATTGTAAAATTCCACAATGCTTACTTTCATAATCATTTCTTTCAATCCACGGTATTTATTTGAAAATATTTTCAGCTTGATTTATATTCCACTCAATTTTTTCTGAGCAAATTTGGTTTAATGGATGACTGCTATAAATAATGGTAGAATTGATTATTGAATTTAAATCAAAATTTTCATTATGAAATCGTTGCAATACAACAATTTATTTGCGTATTTTTAACTGTTAAAGCGTAAATATTGTCCTATAACAATTTAGTTTAAACGAAATCTCTCACATCGTTCTATAATATCAAACATTTCAACGAGTAATTAAAATAATAATGATTCTATACTATTTATTTTGGAAAAACAACAAACATCAGGATAATATATGATTAAATATTATTAATTTTGACTTTCACAATATGGAATAAGATTAAAATCTAATATCTAAGTAATTCAAATAAAAATGTATTTTGAAATAATAATCAAATAATGTTATTGACTAAGGTTTATACTATGAACCAACAAGGTATATGAGCAAAATATTTATTCAACAGAAGCTTGTGAAAAGACATTTTGTCGATGGGGCGCAGAGTGTGTGTCATTAGGCGACGGACGCGCCCATTGCGCTTGTCCCACCTCCTGTCCGTCCTCTGCGTCACCCGTTTGTTCCACCGCTGGAAGAACTTATCGTAACCATTGTTTCTTGCGTAAAGAAGCCTGCGAACGAAGGCTCAATTTACGCGTCAAGCATGAGGGTGAATGTGGTAGGTGTTCCAGTATTTTGTATGATATTATATTAAAAATTATTTACCGCAGGCTTGGAATAAAAATACCAAGTGTTTGTTGAATATGTAAAGAAAATAAATGAGGAAAATAAATTTAGAGCCCTGAATTTATTTGCTGATACACATAATAAAATACATTTATCGTCGATTTTCCTCTTTTATCATAGAATCAATAAATTTTGTTAAATGTATATATATACTCTGATTAGTTTGAATTATTTTGATAGCTGTGGTCTCACATTTTGGTTATTAAAAGTATGTAGTTCGAGTATTCAGATCATAACATGTTACAGAAGCGGGAGATCCTTGTTCGGGGCTAACGTGTCCCACTGGCGCTAGATGTGTGGTAACCTATGGCAACGCAGAATGTCGGTGTCCCCGTAATTGTCAACGCCGAAAAACGTTTGCGGCAGTGATGGCCGGGAATATCCATCTACTTGTCATCTTGATAAGCATGCTTGTGACAATCAGATAAACATCACTGTAAAGTATCACGGCAAATGTGGTAAGTGGAATATTTATATTGCAAATCTACAGTTTGAAAAATGTATAACGTAATAAATAATTAAATAAAGTAACATTTCATTAATGCTACAGATATAATTAACTATCTGAAACCCTTCATAAGCTTGAAAGCATCGTTGAGATTTGTTATCCCAGAGTTGGTTTGTAATAACGGTGGTGAGGACAAAAAGGGTCAATATTATTGTCCCAAGGAAGTTTACGCCGTCCTCATTAACTTCACGAGGAATAATTATAAAATCTGGGTTCAAATATTTGAAAAAGAAATATATTCTGCAGATTCACTTCATTAAGTTAATAGAAAATTTCATTTCAGAACTTATTATAACTACTTCACTTCTAGTTGAATAGTTTTGTGTTTATATAAAAATCGAATGATTACTTTTGAAAAAGTTGAAAGGTGTAGAACATTAGTTGATAAGGATTTTTTTCTATAAACCTTTTTTTCAATGTCCTTTACGTTATATTTCTTTCATGCTCTTGAATTATTAATTTTAAGTGCCTGTTTTTAAGATTCTACATAATGATACAGAACACCTGAGTAGATAGTTTTTGGCATATATTTTGGTAGATATCTTATTTAATAATATTTTATTTGATTATTTTATGAAGAGAATAAATTCATTAATATAAGCATGTTCTTAATAGTTTACTATTCTGCCATTCAGTTAAATACAAGTACATATAGTAAAATATATTTCTCAATAATACAAATAAGACAAGTTAGTGAAATTCTTTTCTTTGAGAGTAATTTAATCTCCTTTGCTCTATCTACGTACTTTTGTGAACCCTTTTCACAAAACTTGTCCCGGAACATTCGATCTGGACTGAATTTGTACGAGTCCAAATGCCCGCACATTCCAACTTCCTTTGTGAATTTTACTGTGTACTTTACAATCTTGCTTCTTTACTCTTATTAAATAGTTTATCTTTATGTTGCATTTTATTTTAATGATGTAACTATTAAAATATGAAATTCGTATTATAGAATAAAAAGAAAATATAGATTCTGAATTTTTACAAAATACATATATATATTAACAAAAAGGGTGAAATGGAAAAATAAAAACGACAAACTACCAAATTATTTAATCACTGTATGTTGGATTATTGAAAGCCCAACTTGTGAGCTTATATTTATACTCAAACTCATACGAGTATGTACTCGCAAAGCATTTTTAGTCGCGAGAATTTTTGTGTTAAACGGGTCTTAGAGGATAACTTTATGAGAGGAAATGTGTTTTAAACTTTTGATATAACGACCACATGCTGATTGGATTGTTATTCCTCGAGGCTGATGTTATGTGTCTGTGTGCTATTTTCTTTATTGACTCTGACTGATGACTTCTGATATACAGTAAAAAATAATAATTTTAAACTCTGATTTAAGCGTTTTGTTATTTTAAACTTATCTTTTAACAGACCCTTGCCTGGAACATGAATGCCTTGATGGAGGAATATGTCAACTGAATGAACTTCGTGCACCAGTATGTAGGTGTGGTCCACCTTGCAGCTTAATCGTTCGACCAGGCTCGGCAGTTTGCGGTTCAGATTTCAAGGACTATGCTAGCGAATGTTCGCTCCGTAGAGAATCATGCAGAACGAGACAGCAGCTTTCGATAGCTTATAGAGGAGAGTGTGCCTCTGGTAAGTATTTAAAATACACTAATACAATAGGGTGATGTTGAATACAATTACATGGTCGATACGTTACAAGGAAAATAAATAGTTACCTCAATTTCACATTACTGGAATCTGAAATTAGATCTTTATTTTGAAAAGTAAAGTGGCCTCGTTATGAAAGCCTTGAACAAGAGACATTTTGTTCTAAAGAAAGTAATTGGACACGAGCATCGAAGCGTACTCTTCCCAAAAGCAATTGTGATAGCAACGAAATAATTTAATTTTCTGAAGTTATTAACTTAATATTCGAAGAGTTTATTATCTTTTATCTGACACTTAGGAATAAAATAAGTTATCTTTTGATGTGTATAATATCGTTAAGGTGGTTAGGAATCAATATTGTAGTTTAACCTGTGTGAATTCATCTTGTATATGTAGTAATATAGTTTACATCCTCACTTTTTTGTATATTTGTCTCATCAAGCTCAACATCCCTGCGAATCTGTGAAGTGTGGCATCCGAGAGCGTTGCATATTGGACGCACGAGGTGTGGCTGTATGTGGCTGTGGCCCAGAATGTGAAGATGTTCTTCGACCAGTTTGTGGAAGCGACGATCGCACATATGGAAGTCCCTGTTTATTAGAGCGAACAGCATGTTTGGAAAATCGAGATGTGCGAGTCGCATATATGGGAGCTTGTGGTAAGTATTATTCGGTGTATTAGGATCTGTAATTGAAAGTATTTTTTTTAATTCGATTATATTTATGTTTATATATATAATGATCCTTCACATTAGGCTTGGAAAATCCATGTGCACGTGCAACGTGTCCTTGGGGTGGAGCATGTGTGACTCGCAGCGGCGCTGCTCATTGTTCGTGTCCAGTATGCGATGCAACTCTCTCTCCGGTTTGTGCATCTGACCACAACACCTACGGGAGCGAGTGCAAAATGCGTATGCACGCGTGTCAGGAGAGTATTAAGGAGGGGGAACTTCGGGTGCTGTATAACGGGACTTGCCGTGAGTATTTTTAACTAGAACTTGTAACTAGCAATATTTTTGTTTACAATTTTCTGGCTATTTGACGTCTTACGAGCTTTTTCAGGCAATAACTTAAAGTTTTTTGTTTGCCATTAAAAGTAATGTTTTAAGATATCAATACTTGCTTGACTTACAATTAAATTACATTACATTTAGAGTAAATAAATTTTAAATTATTCACACTTCATGCGTGTATAAGTCGCTTGCAGAACAAGCGTGATTATATAACGATAAACCCAACTATTTTAACTAGTTAAATGCAAATGCTGGTGCAGGCTTGCTAAAACAACCCTTAGGGTGAACTTTGTATTTGATATAACAAAGGAGAGTTCTATTCACAGACACATACTATAATTAACTAGATGAAACGCTTTTTCGTATTGAAATACTAATTCATTGTACTTATTTAATTAGTATTCCAAGTAAAAACACCAAGGTACTATGTATTAAAAAATCTAATTATTTTAGGCCATACATGTATTATGCACATTTTACCATTTAAATATACAGTGAAAAAAAATCCACGAGTTATTCAACTCAACGATTCTAAAAGCGTTATTTGAAGGTAAAGATGAAATCAATTATAAAATTCCTTTTATAGAAAAATCGCAATCAATTTCCAGCGATGAAAGTCTTCTTCTTTTATAAAGTTGTCAAAAAAGAGCAAGAAGAATACTTTGCCGTATAAATGTTTTCACGAGAATTTATTTTTTAATATCTAATCAATGAAGTCTTACAACTTATATTTCTGAAGAAAAGTTATAACTTATATATTTCAGTTATTTTTCTACATCGTTATTTAGTAGGTCATTATACTCTTCAAGTAATAGTTGTCGTTATATTTTGCCTTTTGAATCAAATTTATTTCGTACCTAGTAATATAGGAATATTATAATATGACCCTGGGCCTTAAAATATTCAAAAAGTATTGAAAGTTTTGTTTGTCATGCTAATAGAATGATTATTAATAAGGCCCTTGTTTTCTGATAGAAATGTCAATTAGAGATTAAAACTGCCTTTGTGAATAATTAAAAGAGACACAGATTAATGGAAAGAAGGCAAAGGATTAATTTTACGGAATCTTATTGGTTATTGAATCAATATTGGACAGCGATGTCTCCTTATAATCGCTTTCATATTTTAATGAAATCTCTTTGAGAGGATTTCAATTTCGCACTTAGAAAATCATTTACTACGATCTGTTTTCCCGGGTTTGAGATTAAGCCCTCGTTTTAATCCCCTAGAGAATTGCTTAAACACGCGGTCTTAAAATATAAATTATAAACGAGAATACTGGGGGACTCAGGATAAAAATTATAAATATTTGCTAAATGGATTCTTTAATATTCAAATTTATTAATACCCTCTAAGTGTCTTAATATTTCTTTTCTGTTTTATATTTTTTTTTTTGTAATTGAGGCACTTATCGTGATTATGTTGTGTAGAAACATGTGCTGATGTTATGTGCATGGGCGACGGGACTTGTGAAATGGACGACACAGGCCGTCCAATCTGCCACTGCTACCACAATTGTACAACACAGGTAATAATTTAAAGTGTTATTTTTTATTTCAATAATCTATTTGAATACTCCGAATAAAATGATCGTCTAATCATGACATTTTCTTAATTAAAAATAATAGTATGGTAATGCTTTGCATTTTTTTATTATTATGGTGAAGCAAGAAGTTAAATTGGATCTGTTGTAACTAGTGTAATCTTCTACACTAACTATCTGCAAGAGAAAATAACCATTGCTTTAAATACTCCGTAGAGGCAGAAGGATCTGTAAATTTAAATATATGTATAAATATTTATATGTCCTCCAAGTGGGTTTAAAATAAATTTAAATGAAGAGTTATGAAAATTTTTAGATAATGAATGATTACGGGACATACAATTAGGGTTATTAACGGATCGTAAAAGGGACGCTTAATACGGATTTATAAAATTGAGTTATGCCATTAAGTACATTTATTTTGGCCCTTGAATATTATTTAATTATTCATATTATTTCATACAAATTATTATTTTATACGTCTTCTATCTACACATATACATATAATAAAATTGGAGAAAAGTGCTGTCTGTACATTGAAAATAAAAATAAAAATAAAAAAATAGCAGGGGTTATTTTTACGTCGATGTCGAAACCAAAAATGTAATTAATTTTTTTTTTGTCTGTTTGTCTGTTTGACTGTTTACGCTAATCTCAGAAACGGCTGATCCGAGTTGGATGCGGTTTTCACGAATATATTGTTGTATGCTTCAGTTATGCTTTAGTGTTTGTTTCATGTCAATCGGTTCATAAATAAAAAAGTTATGTCAAATTAAAGAATCACGTCGAACACTATACTAAAAATAAGTATATATTAAAAAAAAAACGCTGCTCATAGTCACTATTTCACGGGAACGAAGTCGCGGGCACAGTTAGTATAAAATATGTAAGCTTGTAATTGGCATTACTTTTTATAATCAATCTTTTATATATTTTCAAAAACATCGTAAATTAAAAAACCAAAGATATAAAAGTTAAAGTTATATGTCCTTTATTGTTTCCAGGGTTCTATGAAATTCTTCTTCTCTTCTCACTTTTAATACTACATACGCCACATATTCATAGCGGATATATGTACATATATAATTAAACGTCAAAGGCATATCGCAAAATTAGTTTTATAATCCAAAAATATTATTTAGGTCACGCACAGACATTCATACATATAAATGTATCGGTTTTCGAGTTTAGCATCTATAACTTAGATATGCCATGATGCTGTCCAAAATTATACAACAAAAATGTATATCCAGCACAAAAAACATCTGTTACTATTTTTTCATAAAGTCGTCTCCCTTAATCCAATATTTACACATGTACATGTCATACATTCTATGCGCAAAGTATGCGGCATTCTTATAGCATGTTTAGAACTTTATATCCTAAAGTTTTAAAAATAACATTTTTTTTATATTGCAAAGTTTTTATTTCAGTTCTTCAAAATTTTATCCTTGTTTCTTTTCTGCAATACATCTTATAACTTACTCAATGTAACGCTCATATCATGTATCAAGCAATGACCTTAATTAAAAGCATTGGATATTTTTATATATCATCAACTCTTTTCATTGATAGCTTTCAGGTTTATAAATGTTGGTTTTTAAGTTTATTATTTATTGGTCTTTCTTTTTATATCCACAATTTGTGTATCCCAACGACTGTTTATTTAGTTTTATAGTATGTTGATAAAATAATCATAACATTGTTTATAAGTTTATGGATCAATATAAAAACATTTAACGCATTCTTTGAAGTAGGAGTTTTAAATAAAAATATAAAACTGTATAAAATATAGATCAATAACATTCATTATTTATTATTCATTATTTATTAACCTACTGATAAGAGCTTCATCGTTTGACGTGGATTACTTATTTTATTTCGTTTTTATTTTTAGAATGCAATAATTTGTATGGTATGAGCCTGGAAATGTAATGTCAGAATTACAATTCTTAGTGGATTCATTTATGAATTTTACAGTTAAGGAAATTGTTCAGTTAACCATTAAATGACAGTTACATTTATTTTTCGCTATAAACTTATCTAAATGAATATTTCATCGCTTAAAAGCCGTTAGTTATTTATAGGTTGAATTTTTAATGAAATAACTATTCTAGATTCTAAATATTTAAACTCCCATCAATGAGGCGGTTCGTTTCACTAATTGCTATTTATGTGAAAACGATCATTATATTCCCTGTGGATTATTTTGATATACTTAGTTGATACGTAATAACTATTGAAACTCACATAAAATGAAAATGTAATTTAGGTTAATTGTCAGTACGAATAAATTGTTTTTATTGGTTGTGTTGTTGAAAATAAATGTAGGTAGTTAATATAAATAGAAGAAATAAGAGCAATAAGATTCCACATGATTAAACGAATATTTTTTTTGTGTATCTTTGAAGAACTATAATTGAATTTAAAATAGGAATCAGACGTCGTATGCGGTACTGACGGCCAGACTTATCAGTCACAATGTGAGCTCGATTTGACAGCGTGTCGCGAGCAGAGCGAGCTGCGATCGGCCTACAGTGGAGATTGTGGTGAGTCCTAATTGAATTACTAAGGATCTTTTGACGATTTTGCAATTATATTTCTGTTATACAAGTATACGATGAACCTTTCGAGGTCTTAAATGTGTATAAGAGGTCATCAAATTGTAAGTTCAGACATTTACTAATAATTGTACTAATAATTTACTAATTATTTACTAATAATTTTTATGCTAACTTTTAAAGTTTGACTTTTTAAGTCACATTACTTGGTCATTACATGAATCATTGTATGAATCTATATTTCAGTATCTGTCCAACATTCACGTCAGATTTATTAAAACAGAAAATGATGGATTAAGTCATACGAACATTATTTCACCATTTTTCGCAAATGGTTCCCTTCGTATGAACGCGATAGTTCTCTATATTTTTTACTATCTGTACTATTACATATATATGTACGAACTGTAAATTCGTGATAGAATTCTTTGAAATAAAATTTTTGTTCATAAATATATTTCACAGCTCGCGTCAAGCTGTACCTAATAATACACGGTCCATTACGTTTTGACAGAATTGACTGGCACTAAATTTATATAATTGCAGCGTTGTGCAGTATGGAAGTGACCCTTGTGTTACATTCGATGGATTGATTTACAAGCTCCAGCTTGATATATTATAATTGAAGTTCCAGTAACGTAGGCTTTTGTACTTAGTTTTAATCTTGCCTAATTTGTCGGTTGTAATAAGCAGTATTAATAAAATATTAATGAACAAATTGAATATAGTTGAATATTTGTCCTTAAAATTGTGATATTACACAACATTCGAAGCACTGGTTTCATGTGAAAGTCGCTTTTATTCTTTAACTGAAATTTATGTACCGTGTGGCAACACTCTAAAGTTTTATTTAAGTTTTCTCATTAGATAAGAGTGATTGATTTTCTTCGAGGATTTATTCTATATGACTATAATAGCTTATTCCCAAAAGAGGGTTGATGTCAGGCAGGCGGCCGGTCGTAAAAACAATTAGCCAAAACTATTCACAACATGTGAGGCAGGCAGACCCTGGTTAAAGCTGGGAAATTGCCAGGTAGAAGAAGACTATAATAGCTTAAATCTATTACAATTTTATAAGGCTTAACCAAACTAATTATTGCCAGGGAGGCTTAGTGGTAATTATTTATGGGTCACTTAAGATAATTTTCTCAAAGATAAACTTATGTATCTAAGGCTAATATCAGGTACGTTAGATATCTAACTAACAGGTATTTGAAGATAAGACGCCACAGGCAATACAAGAATACTATTCTCAAAAGGATAACAGTCTAACCTGTGGGCTTAAGTAGGCAATAGAACAACAAGTGGCCTAAGGGTTTTTGTAAAGTTTTCAATAACTTTTTAAAGAAAATTAGTGTAACAGTATTGGAGGATATATTTTGAGGAGTCGAGGGTTAGTATTAGAAAACACAAGGCACGGGACTGGTATATAGCTCGTGGCGAACACAAGACGCGTGGTCAATGAGGGGATTATGGTGACTCGAAATACTTCCAATTATAAAATCCTAATGAAATGCCATGACATTAGGATCAATATAAACTCGAGAACAAGACAGTTAACCCGGAATCAGACGCGTCAGAAACAACACATACCTCCTTAAAGGTATACTTGAGTTTATATTGAGGAGAAACAGAAGCCTACCGATCCTCGTATTTAAACTGTTTAAAAATGATAAATTTGAGTAACTGAGTACACAATTAAAGGTAACAATTTAAACACTTATGAATTTAATTGATATATAATTAGTAGTGAAGTATTCAAACGAATTATCAAAATTGCACGCATAACACAAAGAAATATATAGATAATATAATAAATAAGACGTTAGTCGATATGGTATCACTAAAACTATAACGGTTTAAAAATCTTAAGCGCACTAAAAAATAGGACTTCTAAATGTTCATTCATGAATAATTTCGGATAAACATGAATACACATAGATTAAATTGATTAGTATAAATATCATCAATTAATTCAGTATATCTTCGCTTAGTACTGAAAGTCATCCTCAAAAGTGCGTCAACGGCAGAGCAAGGACGTAAAAACAAGGTTTATAAAATTAATAACAAGAAGTTAGCATATACGTCAAATACACAATTAAATGTTAAAGGTAATAAAAAAATAATATTGAGATTACCTACGTAGCAAGCCACAGAAAATAAATACATTTCAAATTAACTTCGTAACTTATTATAAGTACTGAGGGTAATTTTCCAGAAACAATTTGACTTGTTTTGTGATATTACGCGATAATTTCGCTAATTGCGGTTGAGCACGGAACACGTTAAAAATGATAATAATAAAGCTATTAGAGCATTTTTAACCTTTCTATACATTCAGACCTAACGGTCGTCATAAGTACAAATTCTACCGTTGAATTTCTCTGTCAAAGATAATGCGGAAATTAGAAAGTCCTCAATGTAAATTAGATTTCTCAAAGGATAACGGTCTTGACTGACTGAAATTCGTCTGAATATGAAGTATCGTGCGACATAAAATAATTCCTCACTGTTATAAGTGTATGATATTTCATAAAATTATTCATGCTTAAAACGAAAAAAATAAAATAAGAATCTTAATATTTAAGATCTATCTTAGAAACAAGTTTAACAAGAAGTCAATAAATATTACAGCTGTATCATTTAATTATATAAAAAAGGTAAATGAGATTTTATTATATTTCATATTTGGAATATTTAGAATTTAATTTTAATATTTGGAATATATATAGAAATAAAAAAAGGACATATTAGGGATTTCACTTTCTAGAATATGAATGTTAAATAGTATTAGTTTTATTGGCATCGTATTTCGTAAAAGTTTTTGTTGCCATAGCATAAGGTCGTAAATATTCCATTTTTATTGCTACGGGCGGCACGTAGCACTCCGTAGCCCTCGTTTTCTGCTTTGTGTTATTTTGTGTGTCCAAAACAATACAACATTAAAATGTTGTTGCAATTTTCAACTGAATTTTTAATGTCAGTTTATATAATAATAATGAAAGTGCAACCTACTTTATGCTTTGTTTGTTTCGTATGAAGAAGTAAGTGGTGATAAATTTAAATAAAAGTTTATGAGATTATATTTTTATAAATTAGAACCTGTTCCTCCATTACAACTTCATATTATTTTAAAGATTTAAAACTAACAGAGTAGAATTCACATGAATATACGTGCATGCATGCCTCCATAGTGACTCTACGTGTAGTATCATGTTATTTACATTACATACAGTCAGTGGCAATTCAGTGTACTTTAATTATAATTAAGATGAAATTAATGTTCCTCTATCTTAGATACAGTTCAGTTAATGCAAACGTGTTACTACAAGCTTAATGCTTGTTTAAATACCCTGCAGCAGCAAAATAAATGTCTGAAAAACATATGAACGTTTTCATTGTTACTAATTGGTACTATTATTCTTTAAGTTATAATTAATATTGTTTCACTTCTATAAATCATATTATTAGTATGCAAACTGCGATTGCAATATTATTATAAAGTTTAAAGTAAAATTAAAGTACATTTTTAATAAAATTTTATTAATAAAGTAATATTAAATTGTCTGTCATTACAATTTATGTGACGATATTATTGCAGAGGTTTTTTTAATTTTAATAAATAAGATACAAAGTAGGTTTTAGAAAACGGTTTTATATATTCATAGCGTTGTTTTGACAAGTTTATTTTGATCTCGAAAACGCTTATTTCAGTAAGCTTTACAGCTTAGTAGGGAAATAGTGTTTTATTGCTATTGACGAGGATTTTTAGTTTAATTTTATGTTATTGAAAATAGGAATAGGGATGTAAAATAGTATTTATTTCATAAAATCAGGATTTGTTCTTTTTTTTATTTTATTATGAAAATAAGTAAAAATACTTTACGATAAGTTGCGTTACGATTTCGGATTTAAGATCGATGCGATATGAGATTTTTCAATATTTGGCGAAAACCCAAAATTAAACAAATGAAGTTGAAGTTTTGATACGTTACTTCTCAACTATGCCTTATCAAATCATCTGAAATATGTACATCTGGAATACATAATCTAGTTTTTCTATTAATTTTTTTTACCTATAAAAAAACAAGTCGTAAGATTACGGTAGAGTTGTCGAATATGTGAAACCCAAAAAAAAGTGTATAGTAATTTTTTATTATTTCTATAAGCTTCACATAAACAATAGGAATGGTATACACTTTTATTTAATTACAATTCTAACTATGTAGTTTCATTACACCAATTTACTCCGTATGATATTTCAAAGATTCTTCTTAACTAGGTACGTTTACTCTTCAGTTTAAAATCTCTAAATTTATGATTTTAAACAAAAATAGAACGTGTCAAGTATATTCATATTTGGTGTTATAATTTTTATTTTACGATGAATAAACTTTTAAATACAAGTTGTTCTATTTTTCCATTATCGCTAAGTGTTCATACATTTATATAAACTTTTAAATTTAGTTATTCTACATATATTTAAAATAAACCAAAAATAATCGCTCTCTAAGAATTCTCTCGAGCGTGATAAACTAAAAAAGCGCACAGCTGTATCTGGCGTGCATATACCTTTATACGACCGAATTTCTTTTTACGATGACATGTATTTGAATAAAATTTTCATATTGAAGTTTTAAAGGTTATGTAGTATTTTTCAAAATTATGCTATTGAATTCAAATATGCGCCTTTTATTCATTTGATAAGTATAATTCATTTTTTTCATTTTTTTTTCATTAAATTTCATTTGTCAACAATTTTTTATTTAAAAACTGAGTTTGATTGTTAACTATAAATAACATTGTTATTAACTTAGCACAGATTTTTAAAGTTTATTTGTGTGTGACAAAAAGGATTATAAATCTTAGTTTACTGTAGTCAATAGAAATTGAGATTTTTTTCTTGTTTAGAATGAAGTTTTCAAATTATAGATTAATGCAAAACAATTTATACATTTTATTAAAATTTTAATAATTTTGTGTTATTTATATAGCTCTCTGCAATGGCGTTCAGTGCTCCTATGGTGCTCATTGTGTAGCTGGAGAGTGTATTTGCCCTACGGATTGTAGCGGTGCTCCTCGAGAGCCTGTATGTGGAAGCACTATGCAAACATATCAAAATGAATGTGAACTTCAGAAGGCAGCATGTAGCCTTCCTCCTCCAACCAAACTTCACGTGATTTTTTACGGAGATTGCAAGGATAGGCTGGCGGTTGTTCCACCAATTGCCATGAGTACGTATATAACAATTATCATTTGTCCAACCAATATAACTTTGTAGTATCTATCTAGTAATCTTAATCTTAAATACTAATACTGCTACTGTTAGGGTACACATATTTCATGTATAAGATCTTTAATCCTAATTAGACCGTCATCAGACCCGGATGTCAGCAATAAATCCAATTTTCGGACCAATTCTGAATCAATTTACTAACTTTCGCTTTACCGCTTCACTAACTCAAATATTTAACATGGTGTGCGTAGCAACAACTGCGATGATAACAACTGAAGCCGATGAAAGTTCGACTGATATTGTGGAAGTGACACAGAAAGGAGATACGACTAGTCCTTCAGCTTGCCGCGATATCCGCTGTGACTATGACGCCAGTTGTGAAATTGGTTACGACGGATATCCGCGTTGTTCTTGCTTATTTGAATGTCCAGCCGACGATGAATATTTTCCGGTTTGCGCTTCTGACTTTCGACTTTATCCAAGCTTATGCGCTATGCGGAAGGAAGGCTGTCAAAAACAGTTGGAACTTAGATTAAGACCTCTGGATTTATGTAAAGGTTTGATTTCATAGTATCATTATTATTAAGTTATAGTTCTTCTTACTAACAATTTAATATAAATTCAAGTTTCATTTATATTTCCTGATGTCTATACTATTAAGTTATATTATTTGTATACAGGTATGGAAGTAAGACCTTGTGGAAATAATAGAGCTATGATAGACAAATCGTCAGGTCTAGAAATAGATTGTGGCAACGGACCCCATCGTCAAGATTGTCCCGCTGGAAGTTACTGCCATATTACTTTGACCGCTGCAAAGTGTTGCCCTAAAAGTAAATATTGTTTTTCAATTATAATAAATGCAAAAATTTACAACGACATGCTCTTTATTAAAAAAAAACTTTATTAGTTGATTTGATTTTATAAATATTAGATATTTTATAAGTTTATACTGAGACACAAATGTATATTGATAAAAAGACAAATAAAGGATGGTAAAATAATATGGAGCAAAGAATAAATTGGATACAATCACGCTAGCTGTTTCCGCTTTAACTCCTTTGTTCGCACCTTATAAAATGTCGCTGAATAAAATCTCATGTTTTATATGACATGTCAGAACTTCATTCATAGTTTTCACGAATTTTTATGCAGACGACACAAAACAAGTAGATGAAAGGAAGACGACTATCCTCTGTTCGGAGAGCGCCTACGGTTGTTGTTCAGATGGGTCGACCGCAGCAAGTGGGCCGGGTGAAGAGGGTTGTCCAATTACGACTTCAACTTGTGGCTGCAACCGCCTAGGGTCAATATCTGATCGGTGTGATGATAGCGGCCAGTGTGTATGTCGCCCCGGCGTAGGGGGCCTTAAGTGTGATAGATGTGAGCCTGGATACTGGGGTCTGCCTCGCATAGGCTCCGGACACACTGGATGCATTCGTAGGCATATTTACTTACTTTCTATCTTTTTTTTAGCCTTTGATTTCCAACTTATTATTGTTTTCATAATTTTTAGTGTATATTGTATTTATTAATTACAAATTTTTACCAAGCCTCTTTGGAGTAATATTATTAAAATAGCATAAATCACGTTCGTGAAAAGTAGAAAAAAATTGAGATAAAAATATTACACTATTTTGTTTAGCCTGCGGTTGTTCTGCATTTGGTTCTGTAAGAGAGGACTGTGAGCAAATGACCGGTCGATGCGTGTGCCGTACTGGGGTTCAGGGTCAGAAGTGTACCGTGTGCGCAGACCATCGCCGTCGCTTAGGACCTAACGGCTGTTCCGATCGTAAGTACGCGATAATCCTGATATATTGGTTTTTATATCGTGATCTTGCCTTTACTGAATTTTATTTATTCCTTTTTATATAGAGGGTGGGTAGAGAATAAAATATATTAATGTTTATCATGACATTATACCCCCATGGCCTTTTGAAATGGTAATAGAAATGTATGGTCTTTTATATCTATACATTATATTTTTTATTTTGTCACCAATCCGTATATATTTGTTATAAAAAAGGTGTAATTTTATTTTAAGTTAATGTTTTGGTAAGTACAAAATAAGGTAATTTCAGCGGAAAACGGTAGTTCGGTGGAGTCATGTGCGGATTTGTCGTGTTATTTCGGAGCAGTGTGCACAGAACGTACCGGTGGAGCGTTGTGTGAGTGTGCTGCTGCCAACTGTCCTGACAGTGATCTTAACATGATGGTAAAAGCCAATTACTTTTATATTATTTTATAATAACAATCTAGCATTATTTTGATATATATATATGTAAATTTATATTAAAATATATTTAACTTCACCTAAATATATATTAAAACGTGTTTGTTATTTATATGGATAATTATATGTATCAGAATAAATTTAATGGTTTGTGGAACAGGTATACTGTGTAATAGTAAATAGATATCTGAAATCATCTAAATATATTTAAAGTTAATACAAGAGAATTGAAAGCGGTTTCATTTTACGGAGTCATAAAGCAACAGGTTGAGGAATACTCTTTGATGCTTTCCTGAACTATGTTTTAAACGTAAAAGCTTTTACCAGCTTAATTCTCTCGAACTACTTAAACTTCAATAAAAATCAACAGGTTTGCGGCAGTGACGGTAAAACTTACGAATCAGAATGCCACCTGAAATTGCAAGCCTGTCGCACTCAAGAGGATATTGTCGTTCAAGCATTCGGTCCTTGCAAGTTGTCAGAAGCATCTGGAACTGCTGGGCCACCACGACCGTCTTCACCAATACAGTTCACTCAACAAGACGATGGAGCAGCTTCAAAGTCTACAAGACATCTGCTTAACCCTGACAAATATTACAATAAATATGATTGGACAAGGAAAGAAACTCCAAGTGATTTCGAAAACATTGTATCGGGCCAGAAAGTAAAAGGTAAGTTAAACTAATTTTGATTACAGAAAAAACGTTCTAATTTATAAAGTTATTTAAAAGATTTCCCTTTTAATTTTAAATTATATAAATCTAAGTTTAAATCCGCTTAGAATTTATATAATAGTGGTCTTCTATTTAGTGATGCTAATTAATGAGATACTGAACAAATTTCTAGCTATGGTTTACGAGTGGATATTCAAAGTTCCGCAATTTGTAGTTCAGAATTAATTAACTTGCAGACAATCAACTGACTTTCGTATTTTAGTAACAGCTCAATTCATCTTAATCACGTTAATTTTGTAGAGATTACAGTTTGGCTGGTTGTGTGAGGAGTTTCCCTTGTCATTCTGTAACACTATTTCTCGTATCCTTAACTTTGTTACCGATTTATCTTACTTATTTGTTGGGTCAACATAATGATAGAGAATTTGTTGTTGTTCAGTTATTAGTTGTTCGTGACTTATTATAATAGTTTATTTGGAGTATTATTTTATGAGATAATGAAACTGTTTGTCACATATACATTTTGAACTTGGATTAAAATAAGTATTAATTTTGAAATGAAATCTAGCAAACGGTAATGAATACACTACAACATTTAGGTTCACAAACAGCGACAACAGCAACAGTGGGTGCGGTGGGAGCATTGCTTGGAGACTTATGTGCTGAAGACGCAGACTGTGCAGCTTTGCCAGGTGCTCTCTGTGCACGCGGTGGCTGTGTGTGCCGTCCGGGTTTCACGCCCACTGCGCACAGGAAGGCTTGTATTGGTAAGTTGCGATTTTAATGTTGAAAACACGTTTTTAACTTTTATTTAAAAACAAATAAAATAGAAATCCAGCAACTTATAAGTTATAAAGAACAATTTGAAATCACAAGAAAGATTACAGTGTTTTTTATATATTTAATACATCATATTACTAATCTCATTTCGATATTCGGATTAGTAGTGACGGTGAAATTTACGTTATCTTATAATATTATTTGTTAATAATAGAATGAAACTTACTGATTTGAGAATATAATTAATGTTGAGTCTTTAAATAATATGAAATAACAACGTAGGCGAATGTTATTTAAATTATACCATATACAGTCGGAATATTTATTCTTTTTTAAACAACTGACCTCTTTAAGTAATTGAATATATACAAGAATAGACTTTTTATAAATAATCATTTTATATTTTAAGATTAAGGGTATTAGTATTTTTAAGTATTGCGAATATTAAAAATAATTCTGGAGGATTAAGTACTTTTATTACATAAGAAAAGACGTATGTCGGAGTTTTTAGTATAGTATTTGTTGCAGAAGAATTCCCTCAAGAAACCACAGAAGAATACAGTGCATGTTTGTCAGATCCTTGTTATAATTTTGGAACGTGCATCGACTTGCCAGGTTCCACTTATACTTGTGTCTGCTCCGAATCCTATACCGGCTTGAACTGCGAATCACTTATCAAAGACGGTCCACCGATTACGTACATCGAAACTCCATCATTTGTCGGTTCGTCTTACATACGCTTAAGACCACTGAAGGCTTACCATAAGTTGAACATCGATATCGAATTTAAGGCATTCTCAGAAAATGGGGTCTTATTGTACAATCAGCAGAAAATCGACGGAACGGGTGATTTTGTTTCGCTGGCGTTGGTAAACGGATATTTGGAGTTTAGGTGAGCCATCACTATTGTATTTATTTTTTGTCAACTACCATAATAATTTATCATGTAATATGCAATATGTCTATAATTAGGTACAACCTTGGGAATGGAGTTTTAATTTTAACATCTTTAGAAAAGATATCATTGAACGAATACCATAAAGTGTCGGCTAAAAGGTATCACCGCGATGGAATTCTAACGGTAGATGATATGGAAGATGTAGCTGGACAGTCAGATGGTAATTTAAAAGCTCTAGACCTCACGGACGATGCCTTCATTGGTAATGTACCAAGTAATTATACAAGGTAACTATAATTAGAAAAGAATTTACATTTAACTTTCATTCGTTTTTTTTTAAATTATGCCTTTTTAGGGTATTCGATAATATTGGGACCCGAAGCGGTTTTATTGGTTGTATTAAATATTTGAGAATTATTCGGCACCAAATAACGAAGAAATTGGGTCGGCCAGACTCATTAGTTGTCGCTATAGAAAACGTTCGAGAGTGTCAATCTAATCCTTGTATGAGTATGCCGTGTAGAAATGGGGCCACGTGTCAGGCTGTTGAAGGTTCGGTGACTGAATATACATGTAGTTGTCCTTTCGGATTTCAAGGAGCCAATTGTAACGAGAGAATAGATCCATGCGAATCCAATCCCTGTGGATATGATGAGGGGTTATTGTGTGATATTGGTCCTGACGGCGGACATATTTGTCGGTGTTTATTTGGGGGAAATATCGAATCTAATGGAAATAATTGCAATAAAGGTATTAGAAAAATCCATTGCATATTTCTATGTTTAAACAAATATATGTTAGCCTACTTTTAACTTATTGTTTTTAGATGTTAATGTTGTCCATGAAACTTGGTCACCTCAATTCAATGGTACCAGCTATATCGAGTTACCGCCGCTCGAGGGCTTGGGAAAAGCATTCCGTATCGAAATTTGGTTTTTAACGAACCGTTTTTCCGGAATGCTTCTTTATACCGGGCAGTCAAATAAAGCCAAGGGGGATTTTATAGCGATTAACTTGGTTAATGGATATCTACAGTTTAGGTATAATTTGGGAAGTGGAATCGCAAACATCACGTAAGTAAGGCTTAAAATTAAGTTTAAGTATTAATTAAAGACTCGAATAATCGTCATGAACTAAACTTAATTTACTACTTATTTCTTTTGTTTAAATATTGTATGTAACATCTATATGTAAATAGCAGTTGCTAAGGTTGTTATCATCATTAATAATAAATTGTATTAGTTAAGCTTCTTAAGCATTCCCTCGGTAAATCGAAAATTACATTTATCTACCCTAGTACCCTAATATATAATAATACAAAGGCGTCTAAACACATACATCACTTACCATTTACCATTAATTTAGCTTTCTGGTACTTAAAGCCGCCCATTTTAGTTCAAATGTCTAATTAAATTATCTTTTAAAGCTGACAGATAATGTTAAAGCGACTTTATACTTTAATCATAATTAATAAAAAAAGTTTTGTTCTTGATGTCAGTCTTCATAATTTTACATATATAAATATATACATATATAAAATCTGTTAATCTACCTTTTGCGTTTACATTTCACAATTATGCAATTTAATATAATTTAAGATTTTTGTCAAAGATTACAAAGTAAAATACAACATGTACCTATTTGAACTTTAAATTGCAATTCCATTCAATGTCAGTCAATTCACAGATCTAAAACTAGTTTTAACAAGGTGCATCTTGCAGTTCCCCAACACCGATAACTAAGGGGCAATGGCATCGCGTTCGTGTAAGCCGAGTTGGCAGACATGGTAGTCTACAGCTTGATCAGTTGCCTGTACAACGCGGCCTTTCCCCACCACCGCTCACTCACTTGGAGCTTACTCTCCCTCTATTTATTGGTTCTTTGCCGTAAGTACTTCTTTCGATTTCTATCCTCTGCAGTTTGGAAGTTAAACATTTATTTTTTTGATCAATAAATGATGCTCATCCTAATATTGCAGTAGTTCCTTAATCTCAAAGTAACGTACTTTAAAAATCATTTAAAACAATACCTCCTTTTTCTTTCGTCCATTATTCAATAATTATTATAATTAAAATCCTAAAGAATCTAACTTATTTCTTCTAGGTAATTGTTATTTATTTTATGGTTTTCACAATATAAAAAGGATTCAATTTTTATTAAAACTGATGAGATGAACAATGATTGCGAGCGTTGAAATAATATTTTATTATTCAATCAAAGTACATTCAATCCAGTTAACCTTTTCCATGCAACCCAATATTGCGGTCGGTTGAAATCAGTTTATTTACGTGCCATAATAAAATTTAATGTTTTTACCTTCCATTGAATTTTATTGGTAATTGTTCAAAAATTAGACTTAATGAGCATTTATCCTAATCATCTGAGGTTTATATTGAACTTTAGGTCCCAATGTATAGATGATATTTAAAAAAAAATAGGTAACATTGAATTTTATGAAACAATATACATACTTTTCCCATCGCTTTTAGTATGGTCTCGATGTTTTAATGATGGAAATAAAAAATATCAGCGTCATCAATCATCAGGCGTTGATAACCGTACTTTTTCAGTGCTTACGTCCGTCCTCACAAAATGTCGGGGGTGACCAGCAGTTTTATCGGTATTATGCAACAGGTATTCGTAAACGGCAACCCACTATCGTTATACAGTGAGGATACAGCAAAATGCTTTGTAGTTGCTGAGGAAGAGCGACTTCCGTGCGCTACGAGCGGCGTCACTAAATACACCGGTCCACCGTGTGGTGATGGTATGAATTCCTTCTAAATCGACAGCTTCCACCTCTTTTGTAACTTTATAAATATAATACATTATTCAAACAAACGTTATAGGTCTAACCCCTTGTAAAAATAATGGTTCGTGCGTACCATTATTGAACGAATATAAATGTATATGCCCAGACGGATATCAAGGACGGAACTGTGAGCTCCAATTAAAAGTAGAGATGTTAAACGATGGAGCGCCAATTAAGTTCGACGGAAATAATTACTACTCCTACAGAAGTCGTGGCGGCCGTAGGTAAGTTAAATGAATTTATATTCATACTTTAATTATTTCTGGTTCGAAAGTAGCAATTAGAAAAAGGTAAATTATTTACTTCTTAAAATTAATGCTATGTTCAAAATGATATTTCCTTATGATGTTTTATAATATGTTATAAATAAGTTATAGCTAAAATACAAAAATTTTAAATGCTTAAATTATTTGATGATCCTTATCTTTGTGTGAACTAAATTGTAGATTTTGGAATAGTTTAAAATGTTTGAAAATTTGTAAATAAAAAGTTGTTATCTAATTTTAAATTTCTGCCCTTCAATACACGTATAACACTTATATTTACTAACGTTCATTAATACCGTACCTTACCAACACTTTATTATATAACTTGGATATTATAAATATTCACAAAAAATACAAAAATATGCGAATAACTTCTTCAATATTAATTTTAAATGCAATTTTCTTCATAATAATACATATAATTCGTGATTTAATTTAAAAGGGAACTATATATACGTGTGTTAAATCCAAGCCAATTGGTATTGTAACCAGGTCTCATTTATTTTCATTAAAATAAAGCATTTCCTATATATGGAAATAAATCGGCTGTTCACGTTTTATGGTTCTTTGTTTATAATTTTTTATCACTCATTATTAGTCTTAATTTTTTAACAACTAACGGGGTTTCTCTTTTTAGCTTTCGAACTAACTCTGATGTTGGTGACGGACATTACGATGTAAGATAACATTTGGAGAGTGACGTGAAATACATTGTTTAGATATAAGTTTAAATGAATCTACCTACAGTATAAACATAGTTTAGGTAATAAATTAACTCTTACTGTGACATTTTTGTTGCTGAATATTATTTTTTTGCTTGTAAATACTTACATTCGAAAATTTCAAATAAAAATAAATTAGCCCTAAACTCTTTGCATGCTAGCTTTCTATTTTCCTTCGCATTGTATTTTTCTTCTTTTAATCAAATTACTACATAAGTGAATATTCTAAAGTAATTAATGCTAAATAAACGATGGTATTATAAACTGGTAGCTTATTCCTACTAGTGGAATTTCATTAGGCTTTGTAAATTGAGTTGAATCTATCAGATCAAGCTAAAGTGCTCGTACGTGACTTGCTTGAACTCTCGCGAATATGCGAAACTCGTAACATCCTTTCAAAGACGTCAAGAAGTGTCAAACTGTTATTCAACCAACTTAATTCGTATTATAGAATTTCCAATTTGTGCTTTAACAGTTTAGTTAAGTGAACGTTATCGAACAGTACCCAATGACTAAAATTCACTGCGATGTGCCATGCATTTTATATAAAGAGGTCCATTCCGTTCTATCAATTATATAATATCTCTGAATATTTCTGGATGAAATACTGTTAATCCCATTTCATCGCTTAAGCCATTTATAGCGTTTTTTTATTGAGCTGTTTTAATTTTCCGCGCAGCATTTGCTTCAGTTATTTAGTTATTTTCTACCGTTACATCTGGCAGACTCTTTTTATAATTTATCGTTTTGGTTTTGAACATCAGATTTAAATGTCATGAGTATTTTATTTTTCACACATACTGTACTATATTGGGCTTTGTCTGAGAACAATAATGTGAATGAATTCTTTTTTTAAAGGAACCGTGGATTTCGTGGTATTAGATATGAAATAAAGTTTCGGACTTATAATGACTCCGGTCTTTTAATGTGGAGACGAAAAATTGGTATACGACCCCGGGACTTCATCGGCCTCGGATTAAGTAATGGAAAATTACAATTAATATACACAGACACAGATGTAAAGGAAAACAATGTGGCTTTGAATGAGGAGTGGTTTCAAAGTGTTGAATCAAAGGAGAGAGTAGATGATGGACGTTGGCATACAGCGACTGTTAGAAGACGGAAACGACTTGCAATGTTGCAATTGGATGATACACCGCCAGTAAGGGGGTACTCGCAGTCATTGCTGGTACCTTCGAAAGCTAATCCGAAGTTGTGGATAGGTAAGTAAAATTTTAATAAAGTTACTATATTAAATAAAATTACTAAAAGATTCAATTGCTAAAACTATTTTACCATGATGATTCTTGGTTATATAATCGTATAAGATAATCATGTATAATTATTAATTTTCATCATTTTGAATATTTATATACCTAACATTATTGTGTATTTATGTTAATGTTTTTCATTTAATACTTATCTATTATACAATGAAATCTTATCGTTTCATATTTTTATAAAATATCGAAAAGTACTGCGAACAAAATATAACACTTCAACTCAAACAAACAAAAGAACAACACAAGTATAAAATATGCCCATTGTAGTCTTTTAACCTTCTTAAACACGAAAATTCTATTTCACTTGGACTTTTACGCTGAAATCCTGTTTTATGAAGTGAATTAATTTTGACGTTTTGACGATAGGAGGATCTCCATCGCTACCGTTAGGATTGCCAGGGGCCCTTTATTCAGGATTCAGAGGTTGTATCGCCAGCGTGAAGTCTAGCGGTAGGCACATCGACATTACAACACCTATACGACCGATGACTACAATACGTTATTGTGATTAAGAAACTCATAAATATCACTAATCATATCCCTAAGAGATTTTAACATAGAAGTGAAATTTAAAAGTATTATTGTGGGTATATTTTCGTAGATGTAGTTACTAGCCAGTGTATTTTATCACATTGGCAGTTATTCTCATTATTATAATACTTGTAATAACTACGTCGAACTTTCTAGTAAATATTTAAATTTGCAATTTGTTTTTGAGTTATGAAAGTTAATAAAATCGCATATTAACTTCCAATGTGAGTTATTATGGTACAAATTACATTTACATATTTTGATTCCTAATCATATCTTAAATTGAATAGGTTTTTTGTTTTCTTTTACAATACTTCTTTCTCCTTATTTTTGCTGTTATTAGAAAAAAATAGCCAAGGACATGAAAGTAGATAACCAAAATATATCGTTGCCATATAATTTATGTTATAATTTAAGATATATATACTTAGGATAAAATCTTCTATATGTTGGTGCTTGGATTACACTTGATTATAAAAAATAGGAAAACCTTTAAAAATATGTTATCACTTTACCTGTTATACGGTGAACCTGACAAGACGTTGGAAGTTATTGTGTTAAACTATATTCAAAATAAAAGATTTTAAGGAATTTAATAATAGCATTCCATGGTAATGTAAAGCTTTCTGTAAATTTACTTGGGTAATGCCGATATTTAATAGCGGCTGCTGGATAGATAAAGATTCCATGAATATATCTTGTAATGACTGTATAACTAGTTGAGATCTTTAACCCTTAATTTTGAGCATTAAATTTGTTTTATTAATAAACATAAAGTCAAAATAAAAACATATATGTAGATGTTTAGAAATAAAAATGAAGTTTGATATTTAAATCGAAAAATGTTATAAAACGACTTAACTAATCAACTTTAGAACAATTTCATGTCTAAACTTTCTTAATATTTTTGCCGAATCTTTGATCTTCGCTCGAAGAATATTTATAAATTTAGAGAAGTTTACATAATGTTTCAGTATAAAATATTTTATATTAATTAAAAGTTATCTTGTAACGTTCGCATCAATAATTTTCTTGAAGATGTTCAGAATTATTGATATCGTTATGAACAAGTTATGATCTGTGTAACTTATAAGTAACTAACAAAATGCTCATAGTTGAGGGTTAGAAAAAAAACACTACAAGTGTGAATAATATTAAAAACCCTCTTAGCCTCTGTCTTTTCATAAATTTTAGAATTTTAACTGACTTAAACTCATAATTTAGTAATTTCATTGCTATCATTCCATGTTTAATAAGATTAAATTTATAATAGTATTTTAAACAGTGCCATAGTTGTACAGTAGATGATTTTATTATGTATAAGTTAGTATAAGTTTTGCTTATTTATACGCCTGCCTTTTATTTGATGCTAAAATTATATAGAAAAGTATATATACTTATATTTTAAATAAAATACGATCCTAAATTGTTTTGTGTTGATTCATAAAATGTTAAGAAAACTGTTATAAACTTGGACTTTAGTTGTTTGAACTTATATAATGTTTGCAATCTAGATTATATATAGACGATACTCGTGTTGATAGAGAACTATATTAATCGCAAAATAAGTGATTGTGTTAAAAACTAATAATCACGAAACGCCATAGCGATTGATATAGCATTGCTTTAAGTGCTGCTTATTTCGATTCACCGCTTGAATTCACGTGACAGTACTGATGCTTTAATACTTCTAAACACAGTTTCAAACGTTCAGTACAAGAACAGTTTAATGAAGGGTAAAAAACAGATTAAGCATCTGTTACTCTGTTTGACAATTCGTATTTATAAGCAAAATGTAAACTTTTGACTGATTTTCGTTATACTTATTTGGTACAATTTTACAATAAAATATGCATTATTATATGTTTCTACTTTCTACTTCTAATAAAATTAAGAACATTCATGACATTCCACTCAAAACTGGTATTTAAAAGTATTATAGTAACGTTAATTTTATTGTTCTTAATATTTTGTATTATATGTACATAGTTATAGATTAAAAAAAATTACAACTTTATTTTGTTTACGTGAAAGTCCACAGTTTGAAAAATTTTGTAGTTTTATTGAAATATCATGAAATCAACTATTTATAAATACAAACCTACTGTGTTTCTATTTAAAAGATGTATTGCATTTTTTAATAATAAACTACGTACATTTTTGAATTGCTTTGTATCGGTATATATATGTAAAATATACGTAAATGCTAATCTAAAGTAAACATTGACAATATTAAAATATCTACACTGAATTTAGCGTTACTTTTTTAAAGTGTAAGTGCTTCGTGGTGGAATGTAACATAGCCGTTTCAGTCTAGATTTAGGTTAGGAGTCCTTCCTTCCGTTGATTCGGAAAACACTTCGGAATCGAAAATCAATTTGTAACATATTTGCTTATTCTCCATGCGCAATGGATATCAAGTTGGGCTGCTTTAATCCGTGGTGGGGAATAGCGAGCATCGCAAACATCCTAAATCGTTTTCATACATTTTGCATGAACTTTTCCAATGATCGTGTAAAATATATGAACCTATCATATATTAAACAGCCAGTTGTAACTTTTAATGTAACAAACATCCGAAGTAACGGGAGAGATGAGGAAAGCAATAAAAAACCTGTAGTACGTTGTATCACTGGTTCTTGACATATCTTCCAATTAAATTTGTTACGCATGTGTGTTTTGATGTACCTATATTAGTTAAAATACAAATGATAAATTAAATGAGACTGCAGATTGTACAGGAGTTTTATTTTTACACCATACCTATATTTCCAAATATTCAATATTGTTCCAAGTTCATTTTTAAATCACAAACAATTTATTTTTATTTTGTAATTGTTTATCAAAGCATTAATTTGTTTGAAATAATTTTTCACTCATATAAAATATACCTACTAATATTATTTAAATTACTATTAAATCTTCAATAACGATTCATTGCTTTTGCACTTACTTTAAATAAAAAAGTCTATTCCTTAAAAAAAATATTTTTAATTTTATTTCCATCATAAAATACTTATTACATAAAATAAAATAGATGGTTCAACATAAAACGTATTGAAGCATAAAATAGATTGATATATCATCCTCTACATGGCCCAACTCTAATCTCAACTAGGCTGAATTATGGTGTAGAAAATATCCTCTCATTTTCTGCATAAACCATAAATCACGCGAACCACCGGAATCCCTTCGGACATTAAAAAGGGGAAAATAAGCAATAGCAATAGATATTGCAAAACGTGTAACGAATTTACTGATGAAAAAGAGTTATAATTTGTTAGATAAGGAAGTTTTGGGTGTTTGCTTATCACAAAGATGAGAATTTTGATAATGTTCTAATTTATTATTGGTTTTCCTCTATCCTGTAGAAAAGAGAAAACACAAAAAATAGAACATTTTAGTTTTGTTTTTAATATATGTACATTGATATATATACCTTTTTGATTGCTTAAAAATATAACATAAGTCATAGGTCATTGATAGAATTTATGAATAGAATTGTCGAGAAAAAAATTACAAATGGTCGTCATGTTAAATTTATCCTTAAACAAATAAATATATTTTTCAGTGATTGCATAAAAGGGAATTGCCAAGATACTGTAATACAAATACAATGTACGGAGTTTTTTAGGAATTCCATTGATTTAATACGGGAACGGATAACTCATATTAAAAAACAAATAAAAAGACACCATTTTTTTTAAAATAAATATACATAAGTGACTTGCAAGCGTAATAAACACTTGCCTATAAATTGGGGTTTGATAAGGCGCTGCGGCAAATCATCCCATTGATCCGGATCATAAAGGATGAAAAGTTCTCCGAAAATATAAGAGTTTTATTGAATGGATCAATTCCTTTCTGTGAATGTACACTTGCTTAGTACTGAAGTAACACCAATATATATCGCTATTATTATAAATAATAATTGTAGTGTAGTGTGACTTATTACTATTGACACAAAAAAGATATTAGGGATTTTTTTTTATAGTAAGGTACTTTTGTTGGAATTAGCAGTTAAAAAATCGGTAGATATGAGGAAATATATTCGAAAAATGTAGTTATCAGTACAACAACAATATTCTTAAAAAAATAAGTTCAAAATTTTTCATTCTCCGTTAGAATTTTCGATCGACTTCCTGTTTATGGAGTGACTTTAGAGAACATTTTTATTAAAAATCAAAAAGGAAGTGGAATGTGCATTTTTATACATAATATATATGAACTGTATAAGAATGCAAAAAAAGTTAAACTCCTTTAAAAAAAAAAAAAAAAAAACTACAGGAAATAATTATTTTTGAAAATCTCAAACTGTTAAATCTTTTTTTTAAAGTTTCATCAACAGTCAATATTCTCAACTTGGTAATATATAATTATTTCTATTATTGTAGAAATTTTTATTATTGTAGATACGATACGTTTATGTTATATCCATTACTCTTCGTCAAAGAGCAACGGAAGAAATGTTTACTATTCGAATGTGATATCTGATAAATAAAAAAACAATGAGGAAAAAACCTAATAATAACTGAGAAATCACACAAAGCATCGCGTGTTTGGCTCAATGTTTTATTACTCTATTCAAAGCTATAAGCGTTCTACTGAACTCTCATATCAACAATTTGATTCAGTTTTATTTCTTATAGGCAAATGGAAGACAAAGACTTAAAAAGGTTTCATCAAATATATATAAATTTAATATTAAAAAAAGAGTCAT